ATTAGGAGCGCTTGTCCTCCTAATTTAAAAATTTAGGAGCACCTTCTGATCAATAATCAAAAATCTAAATTCTGATCAAAAATTAGCCTTCCTAGACGTTTAATGAGGCTCAGAGGTGGCATGAGTGCAATTGAATTCATAAATTCATGTGGAGAATAATGTTTTAAATATAAAAATTTGAATACAGAAATATGATTCAAATAACTGAAATTATATGCTAAAAATTAAACTAAATCCGCCAGCAGGTGGCGGCAAGTCACTGATTTTATCACTAATTCATTCATTTGATTCGTTCAAATGGCTGAATCATTCAGGAATGAAGCAAGTGATTGTCTTTATGAACTGACAGAAATCCGTCTTAGCGACGGAACTTTAATCCCTGACACTATTTAAAAGTAGATGCCAAATATTGGATTTATAAAGCAATAAAGTATATTAAAACTGTTTGCTTTAGTTGCAATATTCCCAAAAATAGTTTCAAATTAACTTAACTTGGTTTAAGCAAATCATATTGTTGACCAATATATGCAATTTAAAATAGAGCATGCACACACAAACACACACAATTTGCTTAATAAAAAAAAAACAACAACGATGAATGCAGACTGCCATAAGTAGTGCAAAACACAAAACACAAATTTAGCCCAGATCATCAAGCTGCCAAAATGATCACAAGATGAAAAACCTATTAACACAATTTGATGCATAAAGCATTTTCATTGAGATGAAGATAAATAAAATTTAAGAGACCACCACTGCTCTCATCAGAACTGCTATTATACCTCATTAACAGTAAACATTAGCCCATTTCAGAGAAACAAAAATTGCTGACCAGAACTAAATTACTGGAGGGGGAAAAAAGGCATTCAAACCATTCCACTAATCTAAGCATTTTTTGGGCAGTTGGCTTCTTGCATCCATCAGGAAACCTTTTTTGAAAGTGTTAAAGACCGTCACCATGTTGGTGTTTCAAGTCACGGGAGTAACAACCCTGATGTTCTACCCAAGGAAAGAGAGACTTCCATGTCCTCCACCCTTCCTAGTGAAACAGTTTCCCGATCTCCTTCCATCTGAGACCAGGCGGAATGTGACGGCTTCATCGAGCTTGACCAGTAGTAAGTTAGGAGCAAATGAGGGGGGAGAGAGAGAGAGCTTAAGAAAGAAAAGGGAGGAGGAAAAAGGAAAATGGGGGTTTTAGCGTGAGGCTGCACTCACCCACTCCGGGCCCGGTGACGGAGCTGGCGGGCTTGTTTTGCACAGAAGCAGCGGCAGCGGCGGTGCCGTAGCCGCCCTTACAGAAATCCCCGCTCCCTGCCGAAGCCTGGCCCAAATCCTCATAGCCTGCAAACGGTCAGACACACACAGCCACAGCCCCACAGCATTAGACACACATCAGGCAGGGCCAGAGGGGAGGAGGAGTGAAGGGGTGGGGCATAGGGATGGAGGCAGGGACGCTGCAAGCTGGGGGAGGGGCCTAATCAGAAACGAATACTGGTGACTTAAGAACATAAGTCAGGAAATAAAGAGAATCGAAAAACAACATTAGGACTAACGAAGATGAAGCTGGAAAAGATCAACAAAAGAATGGAAAAGGTAACAGAAAAAAGATGGAATTTGTGGAAGAAAAGAATGAAGAAAAACAAGGACAAAGAATTTAAAGAATAAGAGACTTCATGAGATCGAATGAGAGTGTAAGAGCAAAGGGATGGAAGGGTGAAACAAACAGTGCTCAAAAGTGGTGGAAGATTAAACGCAAGCAGCGTTTGGAAAGCATGTGTGAACCCACCACCCTCAACTAAGCGACCTCCCTCCCACCTCATTCTCCTTATATCACTGGTTCCACAGAAACTAGGGGTGGGAATCACCAGAGGCCTCACGATACGACATTATCACGATATAATATTATTGCAATTTGAAATATTGCGATATTCTGCGATATAGAAAACTTGAAATCGCATCATATGACCCCTTTAAAATAAAAAAAAACATTCGATTTAAACGTGGACGGGGCTTTCCTGATAACTTTCAGCGATGCTGCCCACCCCTAACAGAAACCCACCCATAGGCGGCACTTTGAAGTGCTTGCTTGGACAGTGCTTGCTTCCACAAACCTTGGACAGTTCAAATGTCACAGTTGGGATTCAATAAATACAGTAGATGATCTTCTTAAAATGTTCAAAGTTGGCCATATCCTTGAAGCTGCAGATTGATTTCAGTCCAGAACACTCCAATTCAATAGTACAACCTGTAGGATTGACACCGAGTGGTTGAACTAGGTATTGCAGTCCAAAGTCAAAATATTGGAGAGGGTTTTTTTTCCACCTGGCCCCTCCTCAGACTTGACGCACACACAGGTTGCCAGATTGACGACACCAACAGGAACAAGCACACTTGACGATGAATTAAATGAAATCCACTGTGTTTTCCACCAACTGGCAACCCGGGGTACCGAAATACAATTGCACACCAAGAACGATAACTATAAAGATAACGATATTAGAGTCCACACCAGTGAACGATATCGTCTGTTTATTCTAAGCGCACATGCATCTGCTGCTTTAAAATTCTCAAGCTTGTGATAGCAGGATGGATTCTGATTGGCTGTCAATGTTTTTATCGTTCATCAGCTGGAAAAAAATCATTCTGAAAGTGATTCCAACGATATCGTTTCTCTGTGCCTTTATCATTATAGCTGTGGTGTGGACTCTTCTATTCTTTAATATTGAGAACAATTTTTAGAACTAGATCTTTATCGTTATCTTTATAGTTATCATCCTTGGTGTGAACGGGCTTTGCATCCGAACTATAAACTTTTATTCCAGTACCTCAGTGATTATTTGAATGTTTGTAACACTGAAATAACAATCCAAAAGACTTTGTAAAGATGTTTCATAAAGGCTACGTAAACTGCTCTCTCTGGATCAGCGGCAGCGCAAATGCAGATTTGAATGTCACAGAGTGATTCAAGGCTTTAATAGACATATAGCTGAATCCTGTCATTTATGAACAAGATTGCATGGGTGATTGAATCTGTTCGCGATCTGGCTATTTATTTAAATATCCAACAGTAAAACATACGACGCAACAATATGGTTTGTCTGTGTTCTTTAAGCCATCTCTGGTATTTTCATAATAATAAACTATTTATAATCCAATGCTAATCAACACAGCCTTTATTGCCGTATAGAATATATTATCTGCCTCGTTTGTGACAAAGTTATTTCAAACACTCGGCTGATGTTGTGGAGTAAAACCATGTTATTAAATGTCCTCTTTTGTTGGATAACGCTTTTCTTTTAACAGGTTATATACAGGAATCATGTAGTTAAATTTAATACCTTTTAAGACCTTTTTTAAGACTCTTTCTATACATTTTAAGACCTCATCGCCAGTTTTAACTGGTTACATCGGCGACACTTTAACTTACATTTACTATATATTGATTGTAAGATAGCGCAACTAAACAGACTTACTTTGTGATAACTCCTTATCAATGCAACAGAATTCAGAAGGGGGGAATGAAGCACAAGAGAATTAATTGAGTGACTAACCAATGCAACCCAAGAAACAAGAATTAGACCAATAAACAAAACAACTGACAAAACTTATTGAGGGAAAATAAAGCTCTCCGAGCTAATGGGGCAATGAGTTCTCACAGTATATTCAAAAGATGTATTTGTACCATCAACTCTTATAACTGTCTGCAAACCATAGCTGTTTTGTGGAACACTTCTCAAGACAAACATCTGACTGATCAGACAGTTTACCTGTGATTACGGAGTGCTTGATTTGATGCAGACTTGACAGAGTGTCAGTACTGCACCTGATCGTGTCTGAATGATCATGGAAGGTAAAATAATGATCACAACTATTACATCATTTTAATTGGACATCCCAAGCCCATGCCAGTAAAAAAAAAATAAATAAAAAAAAAAAGCCCAAAGTAGCGTGTCCCAAATATAAAAATGTAACTTCCATCCCTAAAATACATATTTTACAGTCACTGTTATGCACATTTATCATAAACACAGCTCAAATGCTTCCTACTAGTGTGGCCCAAAACATTTAGCACAGTTTTATTACAGGTAGAATGCAAAATGTTTCACTACAAGCATTTCAACCAAATGTAATTTATGCAATATTTCAAACCTTTAACCCACTGGGGAAAATCAACCCATGACAACAGTTTAAAAGCAGCCCAATTTCATGGAAAAAAAACAACAACCCTGCATCCAACACGAGCTGCAGAAGTCAGATTTGACTAATCACGGGTCAAAAGTAAGGAGAGATAACTGACAAGATGTTGGAGGATTTGCTCCTCAACAGATCCCGAGCTCATTGACAAATATATTTTAT